TGTACCTCGACTTCATACCTGTCACTTTCGTCTTACCAGCTGGTGAGCCCAAGATATTAAGATTAGGTTTTTAAAAATTAAAGTAAAGAGCTGATACGAAAAATTTCTTGACAAAATCTAACACGATAACTATTTCGTAAATAAAAAGTTCAGTCTTAAATTTTAATATTTTAATTGTCATAAGATCGACAAATAATAGACACGCAGTTTGTTTGAACTGAACGTTGTAAAAATTTGCACATTTTATTATTGAGCACCAAGAATATGGCCCTCTTCACTCATTTGTGTTAAACATTTCGATCAATTTTCACGTTATGTATGTTTTATTTATGATATTTTTAATGAGAATTATCTGATTTATTTTTGAATTTCACAATATATTTTGCCATAGATTACAATATGTTCGTGGAAGAATATCGCAAGTCTCCGCAGAGCACCTGGATCATGAAGCCATGCGGTAAATCGCAGGGTGCTGGGATATTTCTCATTAATAAGCTAAGCAAGCTGAAGAAGTGGTCACGCGAGGCAAAGACACCATTCAATCCAAATTTGACAAAAGAATCATATGTCATATCCAGGTAATTATTTTATAATTATAATTTTAATCAAAGACGTTTCGATTATAAGGATGTCCTTCATGAGATTCTAGCGGTGGAGGTGATTAACAACAGTCAATTAAAGCTATTAATTTCTATTTTTTCGAGCCATTTCATCATTTTAACATTTCTTACGATAGATATATCGACAATCCACTATTAATCGGCAGCAAGAAATTCGACCTCCGATTGTACGTTCTCATCACGTCATTTCGACCGCTTAAAGCGTATCTCTTTAAATTAGGATTCTGCCGATTTTGCACAGTCAAGTACGACACTAGCGTTCAAGAGCTCGACAACATGTACGTGCATCTGACAAATGTGTCCGTGCAAAAGCATGGCGTATGTATCATGTACACTTATCAAATTATTCGTAACAGTACTGTCTTTGATTGCTAGAAATTAATATGTCCCATTACATAGATCATTTCAGTAATATTGCAGCAATATTGCAAATGTTGCATCAATATTGCTGCAAACTTTTGTGCTATAAGAATATATTTTTGTACCTCTATAGCACGAAATATTACAGCAATATTACTTTGAAAGATTGCAATATATTTTATAAAATATTGCTGTAATATCGTAGGGGTATCTTTTCCTCCTTTACGGAAAATATTTTTCTATTTTACTTCAAAATTAAATTTACAAAATAATTTTTGTTAAATTAGACAGTTAAGTGAGTCAATTTAGATATCAGAATGTTCAATGTAAACACACGATTTTTTAAGAAAGCCTAAGTTATATAGCGCTCAGTGAGCGGTTTTTTATCTTGGCAGTCTAAAAAATTACCTTTAAATCTTTTTAAAATTTTTTTACATAAAAATTTAAATAATTCTTAATTAAAAAATTTTGATCCAATCTTGGAATTTTAGGTTTCACCGCGTTTCTATAATCTTTGGATATTTAGTTTTTCAACATTTTAACTTTCAATGACATAGTTTGTACGGATACTTAGTGTATTGATCAACACAAAAATTGTTGAAACGAGAATTTCAGGACGAATATAACAGCAAGCACGGCGGTAAGCTGAGCGTGCAGAATCTGCGTTTATACTTGGAGAGCACGCGCGGGAAAGCGGTTACAGAGAAGCTATTCGCCAACATCTCTTGGTGCATCGTGCATTCGCTGAAAGCGGTAGCACCAGTGATGGCAAACGACCGACACTGTTTCGAATGCTACGGATATGACATCATCATCGATAATAAGTTAAAACCGTGGCTGATCGAGGTGCATTGATTTCTCATCCTTCGTAATTCATCACAAGTTCCTTCTGCAATGAGTTTTTAACACGTTGTATTTTAAACTTAAATATATATTTTAAGCTTATTAAATTAAACAGAACGTATTACATAAAAAAATCAGACCTACGAATAGGTAAAAGTATCAATATGTACAGATGCACTTGTAATTAATTCTGGAAAATAATTTTTTAGAAAATAACTTTATTATTTTTATGATTAAATTCATAATAAAATGATCTTTAATTTGATAAAAAAAATTCAAAATTTTGAAAAAAATATGTGATATAATGCATTAAAAAATTAAAAATTTAGAAAAATTTTTTATGATTTTTTAAAGTACTTTTGAAAATTTTAACTTTCATTCAAAAATTTTTTCTATTTTTTTTATAGTTTCGAAAAGAAAAAAGACGATATTTTCAAAGGGATATTTCACCCCCTAACAGTGCATATGGTCACGTATAAAAATACATGTGACTTCCATATATCTCCTTGTCAATAAAAACCTTCAAATTTCGAAAACATCGAAGTTTTGATTTTTTTCACAGGTAAACGCCTCGCCGTCTCTCACATCCACGACAGTGAACGATAGAATCTTGAAGTATAAATTGATCGACAATATCATATCGGTGGTTCTGCCTCCGGATGGTATGCCCGAGTAAGTGTACGGTATATTCTAATCAAAATCAAAATCTCCAGTAAGTTTACGAAATTAAAATTTACGGTTGGTCTGATTAGCGTGAAATGGAATAAATTACCGTCTCCAGAAGCTTTGGGTAACTTCGAGTTATTGCTCGACGAGGAGTTGGCAGTTCAGGACGAGAGGGATGGTTCATCGAGCAAGTATCGCGGTTCTTCTCTTAACAAGTGGAAATAGATTTCATCCTTGTATGATTATTTACTCCAATTACTCCCTAAAATTACGCTTGAAGCGTAATTGAAACGTCAAAAAGACGTCATTTGACGTCAAAATGATGTCAAAATGACGTAGCTTGCTACCTGGGTTGGTAAATTAATCATGGATTAAGCTTTAATCGCAGTGATCAATAAAGTTCAGGAGCTGGTTTATTCTTGCGTTCACATCAGGCATAAATACATCACCGATCACATAATTAATATTTCAATAAATCGTTTTCAACAGCTTAATTACTTATCGTCTTATCCGATAATGATGCATTGATTGTATTCAAACTCGATATTATACAATCTTTTGATTTCATATTAAAATAAATATAAAACTTAGCTAATAAAATGGCCGTCAAACAATAGATCAATAAATTGTTTATTTAAATATAAAATGGATTATATTAATTATTTATCGATCCCCTACACGCTCCCAAAGTTTTGATATTTAAATTCCAGACACCCTGTAGACGAACTTGACATTGATATTGAAACGATTCTTGTGCGCCACCATATATTAAAAGTTAGAACGAGTGATTCAATAGTGCAATTGCCGGATATTATTCAATAATAGATAATGAACCTGTGTACGTTTTCACTATACAATATTTGTTTAATATATCAATATATATCAAATTATAAAATATATAAAATTACATATATTTTGTTCGTTATAAAATATATAAAATTACACATATATTTTATTTCTTTTATCGCATACACGACGATTAATTTATCTATACATGTATACTCTGGTAGCAAACAGCGAAACGAAATATAGCAATCCTTTTTATTAGATCAAGTCAATATAAGGTCAATCTCGATAAACAACTCAAGCAATGCTTTTTTTTATACCGTTATCATTACTTTAATAGCGATGTTTTATGAGGATGGACGTAAGAAACCAAAGTAGCCACGTTTATTGTTATTCATTCAGATATATATAAGTTATATGTAAATTCGGATATTATTGCTCATTCGGATATATATAAGTTTGACTTTGTTGTTAATGTTAGTTTAATTGGAGTTAATATACTGAGTGACTTTACTGACGTCTTAATAGAATAAGATAATATGGGAAAATAAAATATAGTGTAATCAATGTTATTATGTTAAAATGTGTGCTAAAATATATAACAAGATACATTTATTGTAAAGAAATTATGTAGACCGGAAGCCATCTTAAGCCGTTAGGCAAGGATTAATAAATACAAATACATTACTTGAATGGCACAGTTGCAAGTCGAAATAAAAAATATATGGCGCTTGAACAAGCAATAAGTAATAGGCTATAAATAGCGCAATCTTTTTCAAAATAATCTTGAACAAGCAATAAGTAATAGGCTATAAATAGTGCATCTTTTTCAAAATAATCTTCTGATCTTTTATGTAACTTAATTTCATCATTAGAGTATTTTTATTATTTTGTTTCTGATACAATATAAAAATAGTCTAAAAAATGATTTAAAGATATTTAATTATATATTCTTTTTTCAAGGCAAGGATGAACTTGGTTTGTACAATCACGAAAAAATGTTAAGGATATTCTTCAGTCTTTTCACATAATACAAGGTTTTGATCAAATATTGAGAATAAGTTTGTAATTAATATGTAGGCATTTATGAACTTTTTCGGATTGTTTGACCGTATAGTTTTCTTTGAATAATTTTCTGAAATAGCTTAAATTCTTAAGAAAAGGAGGATTTCAAATAATTTAATTGTATAAAAAATATAAGAATATATATTATTATTTTTAAAGAGTTACACGGATATAAAAAAATGAAATTTAAAGTACAACTTGAAATTTAAAAAATGAGGTTTCACTATGTCATTTTCGTGTAAAATTAGAGTACGAAATAAAGTCACGCAAGTAAAAACGTAGCGTCATTTCCATAATTATCAATATGTAAATTTAAACAATCACTCTCTATGAACAATTTTCTTTTTTAATATTTTCACATAAATTTTCATTTCTATTCTAATGAAAATATTTTTTCATAACAAATTAGTCTTACTGTTTAAATCTTATTTATAATTTTTTTTCTAAAACATATGCTAATAGCAATTCTTATTCTGTATATTTTTGTATTAAGATAAGGAAAGTTATGTAACTCCCCTCCACTTTTGTAAACTGGAAAATACTTCGTTAATACTACGTCGCAGTAAAGTTAATGGAGCTAAATATGCCAACTCAAGGTTATTACTATTTCCCGGTCTCGCTCATTTTACTGACGCTATCATTGCACACTATTATAGCTTCGATTATTTCGCTGTATCACAGTCAGTCACGAACGATGTATAGCTAAGAGTACATCGATTTATCCAACCAAGAGTCATTTATCGTCCAAGAGAGACAAAATGACCGTCGTGCTAGTGTCTCTGATTCTTGGAGCGCTTATAGCTTTTTACTTTTACTTGACGCGAAATTATAAGTATTGGCAAAAACGTGGAATTCCGTACGTGGATGGAGCCCTGCCAGGATTCGGTAACATGTTGCCGGTGATCTTAATGAAGACGGATATTAGTGAGTTATGTCTTAAGATCTACAATGATAACAAGGGTCGCAGCATGGTCGGTCTTTACGACTTTATGTCGCCAGCATTGATGGTCCTCGAACCCGAGTTAGTGAAAACGATAGTACAAACCAATTATTCAAGTTTCGCTAAAAACGCCATCGATATTGATCCCAACTTAGATCCGCTCCTGGCACATAATCCCTTCGTCCTTACTGGTGAGAATTGGGCACACAACAGAAAGCGCATGACTTACGCATTCTCCAGTATGAGATTGAAGATGCTGCTCGAAAGTGTTAAACAAGTGTGTACAACGTTTGAAAATTACATGAATGAAAAGCTGAACAATAACCAGACAGAGTTCGAACTGAAGAACTTGTTCGCCAGGTACACCGCACAGGTGGTAGCCGCTGCTGGTTTCGGCGTTGATGGATTCTGCTTCGACGACGAGAAAAAGGACATGTCCTTCAAGAAACTCGGACAAGCCATTTTCGAGCCGTCTTTACGAAATTCAATCGTGTTTGCTGTTACGTTTCTCGTGCCATCGTTAAACAAAATCTTTAAACTAGGCGTCATTCCGAAGCACGTAGACAATTTCTTTAGGACACTGGTTACAGAACTCATGGAGCAAAGAAGAAAGGACGGAATACCTAGAAACGATTTTCTCCATTTGATGGTCGAACAGGAGCGAGCGGAAGGCGATAAATTCGACCTTGAAATGGTAACGGCCCACGCAATGTCGTTCATCATCGACGGCTATGAGACCACCAGCAGTGTCATGAGCTTCGTCGGATTTGATTTGGCCCGTCACCCAGAAATACAGAATAAATTACGGGAGGAGGTGTTATCCGTACTTAACAAATACAACGGAGAAATCACTTATGAAGGCTTGAAAGAAATGACATACATAGACCAAATCTTAAACGAGACACTGAGATTGTTACCCGCAGGAGTGATTATGAAGAAACGATGCACGGAAGAGTTCGAACTGAAAGGATCCGATGGAATGGTTTGTCGTGTAGAACCCGGAACGGAGATTCTAATACCAGTTCAAGGTCTGCAAAAAGATCCTCAATATTGGGAAAATCCCGAAGAGTACGATCCTGAAAGATTCAGCTCGGATAGGAAACACAGCATCGATCGATTCGCGTTTCTTCCATTTGGCGGAGGTCCTCGAGCCTGTGTCGGTATGAGAATGGCTCAACTACAAATAAAGGCAGTTTTGACGGTAATTTTAAGAAAATACAAGATGGAATTATCCCCGAAGACGCAAATACCTTTAAAGATGATTCCTGGTAACGTTTTACCAACACCGCAAGGAGGAGTGTGGGTTTATTTTCAAAAGCTTTAAATGTAAATATCTTTTTTTATGATAAATTTCTTTCTAGTTTTCTGTATCCAGTTTCTAGTGTCATGAATTATTTTTATGTTCGAAGGAAATATTTGTGTAATCTTCGTATAAAAATGAAATTCTTTTCAAATTTAATCTGTTTTAATTACTGTAGTTTTATACAAAAATAGAAAAGGTGAAATTTTATTATTTTTTATAAAATATTTTCTTATACGTATATTTTTAGAAGTTCTTAATTCATTAAAGAAAATAAGGAAGAATGTAATCTTTGTACAGAAATAAAAGATTAGGATATTTGCAATTTTATAATTCTTTACAACGTTTCTTATATACTTTATATACTGTTCCGTTCAGTCATAATAAAAAAATTCACAACATATAAAATAATAGTTTTAATGACAAATTATGGATATCAATTATAAGAGCAGCTCCGGATTTTTAAAATAAAATTAGCGATTTGGACATACAACGTATGCGCAGAAGCGATCTATTTCCGTCATTACTAGAGTGGCTTTCACGTCGCCATATAGACACACAGCAGAAAGTGTTTTATGCTTTATCGCTTGCGCAATTAAAGTCGATGACGCTTGTACAGCACGTTTTAACTCGCAAACAACACGATACGCTTTTCACTGTGGCGTGCACATGGCGATTGAAACAATAGGTGCACTCAGTAGCGCAACTGCTTACTAAGCGGCTGAGTATCAATTTCATTATGCAATTGAATTTAAGTGTTGGTTCTAAAAATAAAAGCCAGTCATATTTAATTTCTGTTTAACAGCTCAGTGAGCGGTTGCGCTGCTAGACACACCCAATGCAAGAGGTATAGACAGCTTCTGCATATGTTCAATCAAATCTGTATACTCTCGTAAAATCACTGGGTTTGTAACTTTATAAACAAATATACGAATTTAGATAATGAGAATAAATCTAATTAAATACGAAAAATTCTATTTTAATTTTATATAAATTCACACAAAAAATATTTAAGCACTAAGATCCTACTTTGATCAAATATAGGACTTTTCGTATTTAATTATATTTGTAAAAAAAATTTCAGGGCTGCTTCTTTACAGTGATATCCTCATTTTAAAATTAGAACTAGTACTTCGTATGTGTTACATCTTTTAATTAATAATAAAATGTTCCGCGTTGATTTTCCTGCTTCCATTCTATTATTAACGATTTAATCATAAAAAGCCTTTGTCTATTGCCATAAATTTGTCATTTATTATATCGTTATCATCTAAGCAAAACGGTGAGTATATAATTTAGTTATAAGTTTTTAATCTAGTAAGAAAATAAGAATTTTACCACATTCAAATAACGCATTTTTATATAAAAATGAAAAAGTATTAAAAATTTTGAAATTCTTTAAAATATGTTCCTTTGTACTATTTACTGTTAATAATAAGTTTTACAACTTTAACTTGTTTAACTCCTGATTTTATTACTTTCCTAGAAAATTGTCAAAAATACGTTTAACATCTGACATGTTTGTGCTATACTAATAAAAAATATTATTAATCATAAACTATTTATTTAAAAATCTCGCAATTTACGTTATCATAAAAAAATATTTAGAAAAAATGTTTTTACACATTCTAGAACGACAATCAGTCACAATATAAGCGATATATTTGCGGGTGCAACTGGGACACAAATTTCATAAAAATAGAATAACAAACAGCAAATAAATAAATTACTTCGGATGCTTCAACGTCGCACGATACCACCCACACATCCTTCTCCTCCTACCCCTCCCGCTCACATATCCCACCTCAATATTTCTTCATAATATTGATACGCACTTACGATAAAACTCCAGCAGAAAACCTACGCATACATTAAACAAATAAATATAAAACGATCGTAAAACACTCTAAACGCCATACAACGTTTAATTTATAATAAAAAATATATAATTAAAAATATACAGATAAATTTAGTCTCGTTAGATATGTAATAAAATATATATAGAAAGAGATAAGATTGATCTCTTTTTATGACATACGCAACTTAATTAATGATTAATTTATCTATTAAAATGTAACAGCAAATAGCGATAATAGAATACAGAAATCTTAATAAATCTTCATTAGACGAAATCGATGTCATATCCATCAACTGAGTAAAGAACTCACAAAATGCTTTATTGATGCGATATGTCAATTAAACAAGCAATAACAAGTAATTTATATTAAATACATACATCAATTTCATCATTAAAATATATTTATCATTTCGTTTCGAACACATTGAAATATTCAATACCAAAATGATCGAAAATGTGTTAAACATATTAACAATATTTTCTTCCTTCAATGACTAAAGATTAATTTCTTCTACACAATTGTAACAGAATGTTAATTAATATTTCATGGTAAAGTTTATTTGCCGACACTATAAATCATGTACGCGAATTTTATTATTCAGTCTTCCTCGTGTTTTATCGGCGCTATAAATATATTCTAAGATCAACAATTTCGTTACATCACGACCAGTCGCGGATGATACATCATCAGGATCCTATCGATTTATCCGATCAAACGTTACATATCATACGAGAAAAGAAACATGACCGTTGTGCTGATGTCTTTGATTCTCGGGGCGCTTATAGCCCTTTACTTTTATCTGACTCGAAATTATAAGTATTGGCAAAAACGTGGGGTTCCATGTGTGGATAGAGTCTTGCCAGGGTTCGGTAACATGTTACCCGTGATCTGCATGAAGACGCACATCGCCGATTTCTGTTGTAAGATTTACAAGGACAACAAGGGTCACAGCATGGTCGGGTTCTATGACTTTACATCACCGGCGTTAATGGTCATCGAACCGGCACTAGTGAAAGTGGTGCTACAAACCAATTTTTCAAGTTTTGCCGAAAATGCTGTTCATATTGATGGCGAAAGAGACAGACTGCTGTCATATAATCCCTTCGGCCTTTCCGGGGAGAAGTGGTTAAACAGCAGAAAGCGATTGACATACGCATTTTCCAGCTCGCGACTGAAGATCCTGCTCGAAAGCGTTAAAAATGTGTGTGCGACAATGGAGAATTACATGGACAGAAAATTAAGCAACAAAGAGACAGAGTTCGAACTGAAGAGTTTATTTTCCCAATACTCCGCCCAGGTGATAGCTGCTGCTGGCTTCGGCGTAGATGGATACTGCTTTGATGATGACAAAAAAGATGTAGCTTTCAGAAAACTCGGACAAGCCATCTTCAAACCGTCGAAACGAAGTACAATTATGTTGGCTCTTGTATTTCTCATGCCATCGTTAAATAAAATCTTCAAAGTAAGCATAATCCCGAAGGACGTCGACAATTTCTTCAGAACATTGGTTGCAGAACTCATGGAGCAAAGGAGAAAGGACGGAATACCCAGGAACGATTTTCTTCATTCGATGATTGAACTGGAGCAAACAGAGGGCGATAAATTCGATAATGAAATGCTTACAGGTCAAACAATATCGTTTGTTCTCGATGAGACGTCCAGCAGTGTCATGAGCTTCGTCGGATTTTATTTGGCTCGTTATCCAAAAATACAAGAGAAATTACGCGAGGAAGTGGTATCCGTGCTCAACAAATACGGTAATGAAATCACGTATGAAGGCTTAGAGGAGATGACATACATGAACCAGGTCATCAATGAAACGATCAGGATAGTACCCGGAGGATTGATGATGAAGAAACGGTGCACGGAAGAGTTCGAACTGAAAGGATCCGATGGAGTTGTCTGTCGCGTGCAACCTGGAATGGAGATTTTGATACCAGTTCAAGCTCTCCACAAAGATCCTCAATACTGGGAAAATCCCGAAGAATACGATCCTGAAAGATTCAATTCGGATAGAAAACGCGACATTGATGGATTCACCTTTCTTCCATTCGGCGAAGGTCCGCGAATTTGTGTGGGCATGAAAATGGCCTTGCTGCAGATGAAGGCAGGTTTGACTATGATTGTGAAAAAATACAAGCTGGAACTATCCCCAAAGATGCAAGTACCTTTAAAATTGATTTCTGGCACTATATTACCAACACCAAAAGGTGGTTTATGGATTTATTTTCGGAAGTTTTAAATGTAAATGTCTTGTTTTGAATTTTTTTCTATTATAATTTTCAGCGTCATGAATAATTTTTTATATCCGAAGGAAATGTTTACGTAATTCTCATATAAATATTGAAATATTTTTAAATTTAATCTGTTTTAACTACTGCATTTTCATACGAAAATAAAAAAGTTAGAATTTTATTATTTTTTATAATGTATTTTCTTATATATACATATATTTTTATAAGTTCTTAATTCATTAAGAAAATAAGCAACAATGTAATTTTGTACAGAAATAGAAGATCAGGATATTTGCAATCTTATTCTTTACAATTTATTTTACAATTTATTCTTACAAACATATCTGTGCGACACGTTGTCGCTATCGGACGTGTTTTTAAAAATGCGTGATCTTATTTAAAATTGTAATATACCCACTATTTAAGATTTAATATGTTCAACAAAGTTTCACGTTTCTTGTCATGTTCCGTGATGATTATCAATGCTGCATTTTTGTCAATTTGTGAGTGACTTAAGCATTGCGGACATGTGAGCTAATTGGAATTGCATCATTCTTGCTGAGGAAGACTCCAAAGAGAGTCGAAACGTTTAAATAAAGAAGACATCAATCCATTCTTTTGGAGTATTGATTGATCACTATAATATTTGAGCTGTTTATCATCGCAGACTCTCATTAGCCTACTATATTTTTTGTTTGTTATATTGTATGTTTGTTATATTGTTTGTATTATTGTTTGTTATATTTAATATTCAAGAGTCCTAATATTATTATTGTTTTTATTCTTTACAATGGTTTTTATATGCTTTATATAGGGTGTTCCGTTCAAATATAATAAAAAAATTTATAACATATAAAATACTAGTTCCAGACAAATTATCGTTCCTAGGTATTCCGTCCTTTCTCCTTTGCTCCATGAGTTCTGCAACCAATGTTGTGAAAAAATTATCGACGTACTTCGGGATTAGGCTTACTTTGAAGATTTTATTTAACGATGGAATGAGAAATATGAGAGCGAACGTAATTGTACTTTGTTCCGATGGCTTGAAGATGGCTTGTCCGACTATAGATATCAATTATAAGTGTCTATTTCTGTCATTACTAGAGAGACTTCGACGGCGCCATGTGGACACAACATCAGAAAATGTTTTATGCGTCATTACTTGCGCAATTGAAGTCCGCAATGCCTGTACAGCGCGTTTCAACTTCTCAAACGACACGATATACTTCCACTGTGGCGTTCACATGGCGATTAAAATAATAGATGTATCCAGTAGCACATCTACTTACTAAGCAGTTGAGTAGCAATTTCATTATGCAATTGAATTTAAATGTTGGATATAAAAGCCAGTTTAATTGCTGCTTAAAAGTATCCTAAAGTTGACTCTGTATAGTTGTATTACCGACTAAACCATATAATTTTTGTATAACAATTACTTTTTTCCTTTCTTACTGATTTGAAAATCCTTATCGGCACTTAGACTGCGCGTAGATTGGTGAAGTAAGAGGCAGGAACCAAGCCGAAAATCTGCCGAAATGTGCAAGTAAATCCCAGCACTGAACTAAGAAATGGTAAAGATCTCACGAAATTTTTTGTCGTTCCTAGCATAGATTCTACCTCACAGACACGTATTAATGCGTATATTTTAATTTTGGAAAAGGATTTCAAGCAAGTTGCGGATGCAACTGAGGCACAAATTTCATAAAAATAAATAGCAGGCAGCAAATAAATAAATTACTTATCTTCCGAATGCTCTGACGTCCCACGTCTCCATACATCGTTCTTATCTTTCTACTCCCGCTCATTTATCTCTGTTATTTCTTCATAGTATTTATACAAACGTGCTAACAAAAAGGCAAGCAGAGATCCTACGCATATATAAATCAAATAAATATAATACGATCGTAAAACACTCTGAACGCCATACATACGTTTAATATATAATAAAATATGTATTATAATAAAAGATATATAGATAAGTTTGGTCTTGTATGATATATAATAAAATATACGTAAATAAGTTTGGTCTCTTTTTATGAAATACATAAATATTAATCTATCTCTTAAAATACAACAGCAAATAACGATAACAGAATACAGCAATCTAATAAATCTTTTATGTCTATAAATAGAAATTTTTTTTAATATTAGCCGCTTTATTTTATTTTATAATTTTTACACTGAGGATGACCTGTTGTAAAAAAATTGAAACGTATGTTAGGATTCTTTATGATTAATAAACATCAATGTTAGTTTCTATGTAAATATTGATTGGCATTAACATTCGACCGTAGCTCCCTAGCCTTTGTACGTATTTTATATAATAAATCTTTATTAGACGAAATTGATGTCATATCCATCTACTCGGTAAAAAACTCATGCTTTCTTGAACTAATGCTTTTTTGATCCAATATATCACTTATACAAGCAACAAGAAATAATTTGAAACGATACCTTTTCAAATCAATCCCTTCTATTATATTCACATATATCAATTTCATCATTAAAATATTGTTAACATTTCGTTTCCAACACATTGAAATATTCAATACCAAAATAATCGAAAATTTTTTAAACATATTGAATATGTTTTCTTCCTTCAATGACTATAAAAATCAATTTCTTCTAATCAATTGAAGAAAATGTTAGTTAATATTTCATAATAAAGTTTACTTGGCGATATAAATCTTGCATGCAAATTGTATTATTCAGTCTCGCTCGTTTTATCACCGCTATCATGTACTTCAGCGTCAACAATTTTATTACTGCATCACGACCAGTCGCAAATGATACTTGGTCAGGGTCACATCGATTTATACGATCAAACGTTACTTGTCGTACGAGAGGAGCAACATGACTGTCGTGCTAGTGTCTTTAATTCTCGGGGCGCTTATAGCCCTTTACTTTTATCTGAAGCGAAATTACAAATACTGGCAAAAACGTGGAGTTCCATATGTGGACGGAGCCTTGCCGGGGTTCGGTAACATGTTATCGGTGATCTGCATGAAGACGCACGTCACGGATTTCTGTTGCAAGATCTATGAGAACAATAAGGATCACAGCATGGTCGGGATTTATGACTTTACATCACCGGCGTTAATGATCATCGAACCGGCACTAGTGAAAGCGGTCCTGCAAACCAATTTTTCAAGTTTTGCCGAAAATGCTGTTCATATTGATGAAGAATCAGACAGCCTCCTGTCATATAATCCCTTCGTCCTTTCCGATGAGAAGTGGTTAAACAGCAGAAAGCGATTGACATACGCATTTTCCAGCATGCGACTGAAGATCCTGCTCGAAAACGTTAAAAAAGTGTGTGCGACGATGGAGAATTACATGGACAGAAAATTAAGCAACAAAGAGACAGAGTTCGAATTGAAGAGCTTATTTTCCAAATACACCGCGCAGGTGGTAGCTGCTGCTGGCTTCGGCGTAGATGGATACTGCTTTGATAATGACAAAAAAGATATATCTTTTAGAAAACTCGGACAAGCCATCTTTAAACCGTCCAAACGAAGTACAATTACATTTGCTCTTGTATTTCTCATGCCATGGTTAAATAAAATCTTCAAACTAAACTTAATCCCGAAGCACGTCGACAATTTCTTCAGAACATTGGTTGCAGAACTCATGGAACAAAGAAGAAAGGACGGAATACCTAGAAACGACTTCCTCCATTTGATGGCTGAACTAGAGCGAGCAGAGGGTGAAAAATTCGATAATGAAATGCTCACGGGTCAGGCAATGTCATTCGTTCTCGATGGCTACGAAACGTCTAGCAGTGTTATGAGCTTCGTCGGATTTTATTTGGCTTGTTATCCAAAAATACAAGAGAAATTACGCGAGGAAGTGATATCCGTGCTCAACAAATATGATAGTGAAATTACGTATGAAGGCTTGAAGGAGATGACATACATGGACCAGGTCATCAATGAAACGATGAGGTTGGTCCCCGCAGCATTGTTGATGAAGAAACGATGTACGGAAGAGTTCGAATTGAAAGGATCCGATGGAGTTGTCTGTCGCGTGCCACCTGGAATGACGATTTTTATACCAGTTCAAGCTCTCCACAAAGATTCTCAATACTGGGAAAATCCGGAAGAATATGATCCTGAAAGATTCAACTCGGATAGAAAATCCAACATCGATAGATTTACCTTTCTTCCATTTGGCGAAGGCCCGCGAATCTGTGTGGGCATGAGAATGGCCCAGCTACAGGTAAAGGCAGGTTTGGCTATGTTCGTGAGAAAATGCAAGCTGGAACTATCCCCGAAAACGCAAATGCCTTTAAAGTTGATTCCTGGCACCATATTACCAACACCAAAAGGCGGTCTGTGGGCCTATTGTCGGCAGCTTTAAACATCTTCTTTTAATTTTTTTTAATTTTTAATCGTGTGTTTTTTTTATATCAAAACAGAAGATTGTAATTTATTTTTATGTAAAAATGATGTTCTTTTCAAATTTTGTCAATTTTAGTACTGCATCTTTATATAATAATTGAAAAGGTATTTGGTATTTTCTTATGCAAATATTTTCATAAACTCTTAATTAAGCTATGGAATAAACAAGAGTTTAATTATATTCATACAGAAATAAAAAATCAGAATAATTAGAATAATGTAATTTTTAAAATATTTTTTATATAAATGCTATAATTGTAAGTTCTTAGTATAACAAGAAAATAAAAATTTTATCTTCAATTACTGTATATTTGAAAAAAATAATAAATTTCAAATTCTTAAAGTTTTGCAATTAAAAAAAATGTATTTTTGTACAAACAATAGTAATTAGTTCTCTCTTGCTAACTCTGACTGTTGTTTTAATACGAAATAATCAGAAGTATATTTAAATGAATATTTTAAATAAATCAAAGTTGTTCTTCTGTTAATTGTCAATTATTTAAAAATTTTGTAAGTTTTGTTTCGGTATCATCATGTATTTCAGAATATAACACATTCCAAAGATTAAAAAAGAGACTTAGAAAAAAATATTTACTCTCATCCTAGTACAAAAATCGTATTATATAAATACAATTAATAACAAAAATGTTAAATTATCAAAATATGTACACATTTTTTAACAAAAAAGCCTAAGTCTGTTCAAAATTTTTTGTTAAAGGATATATTTCGTTTCACGAACGATGTGCATGTGATTTGTATTACTTATTTTCATTTTTCACTAAATGTGAGATAAAGCTAAATAATGAATTAACATGTCCATCACTGCTTGAAATGGAAGGAATAGAACGCTACAAAATAAGGAATAGAACGCTCCAAAATAGCGCACAGAAGATGCCATTTGTGTCCCGGATATGACTGATCCGAGAATGATTAATTTCACAAGCAAATAGCAAATAAATACAATACTTACACTTCGGTTACTGTCTTTCGCATCTTCTCCTTCCCCCCCCCCCCTCCCCCCCTCTCATATCTCATCTGTTCCATCGTGGCATTCACAAACACATTGGCGAAAAGACCCTGCTCATTCAGTCACCAAAATGACAATCGTGTGACACTGAAACGCAATAGACACTCAATTGTAATTGAAAGATAGCGTAAAGAAAATACAGTTGCACGAAGGAAAGATCTACTTGATCTTATTAGCATCTCGCATAGAAAGTATATATTTTGCATGAACAGAAGTTAAGATTGTGCGATCAGTTTCACGTTAATTTTGCGCGAGAAAATGTGAGTTAATGTAATTGATAATTGACAAAAATATATAGTCGCGAATGTCGTGATTTAACATTCCATGCGTGCAATACATTTTGAATAACTCGCATAAATCTCGTAGCAAATTATTTATAACGCGTATCACTGTAAGTATGTATACAATTATGAATATTAACCAGCTTTCTGATTCTTATTAAAATTATTCAATCCACCGATTCCAGAAATGACGAGCAAATTAAATTCAAATCTTCGAAAAATAGAAAAAAAACACATGCAAAATACATTTAATATAATCAAACATTAAATCTTTATCTTTTATATCTCTTTAATTCTAAACACCTACACAAATTACTTGCGGTCGCTTTGATAACATCAATTGCGAGATCATTTACCGTTAATTGACAGCAAACTATGCTATGCAACAACATTTTCTTTTTCATCTGTTATCATTAAGAAATATTTAACATGGAATTATTTTGCACGCATTGGACAAATATATAGAATCCTACTTGTCATTTTAGATGATATTATATAATCAGTAATGTATTTCAATGATGATACTGTCATGCTTCATATGCAGTGCTGAATTGCGATTTGTATCGAACTTCTATATACTTATTTTCATAAAAGCTTCATTTATCAAAGTAATAAAAAAGCATGAAAGATAACATCATTGAACTACTGGAATTTATATACAACGAGTTTTTATAGATTTGTGCATATGTTTTCAACGTGCATGCTTTTCATAATTTATTATTGTAAAAGTATTAAATATAATATTAATAATATCTTAATAAAACTAGACTTTTGGACTCTTATCTCTTACAATTTTGTCTAAATAAGTCAGAAAATACATAACAATAATTAAAGTAAAATGAAGAAAAATTTATTTCCTTATTTATAAATTGTTATAAAACATTGTAACGCAGATACGTCAAACACAGAAAGCGACAATAAAGTGAAGGATGCATCGGTAAAACAACGAATTATTAAAAAATTTGTTAATATGATGAATATATTTTTTTATATTCACTTTTTAATGATTGTGAGGATCAATTTAGTCTTCGCAATAGAGAGAAAATGTTAGTTACAACATTATGGAGTAATAAAGTTCACTTGGTGAAATCGTCGATTACGCAATATATATTACTGTTTTGAAGTCTCATTCATTCTTGTGACTTATCAACGCTCTCAATGTAGTCTCAGTCACATCGCTACATTTCGACCTGCAGTTCTGAATGATATGTGGTCAAGGCTACATCGATTTATCCGATCAAGCGTCATTTCTTGTCCAAGAGTAGCAACATGACCGTCGTGCTGGTGTCTCTAATTCTCGGGGCGCTTACAGCCCTTTACTTTTATCTGACGCGAAATTACAAACACTGGCAAAAACGTGGAATTCCGTGCGTGGATGGAGCTTTGCCGGGGTTCGGTAACATGCTATCGGTGATATGCATGAAGACGCACATAGCTGATTTCTGTTGCAAGATCTACAAGGACAATAAGGGTCGTAGCATGGTCGGGATCTATGACTTTACATCACCGACGTTAATGATCATCGAACCGGCACTAGTGAAAGTGGTCCTGCAAACCAATTTTTCAAGTTTTGCCGAAAATGCTGTTCATATTAATGAAGAATCAGACAGCCTCCTGTCATATAATCCCTTCGGCCTTTCCGGTGAGAAGTGGTTAAACAGCAGAAAGCGATTGGCATACGCATTTTCCAGCATGCGACTGAAGATCCTGCTCGAAAACGTTAAAAAAGTGTGTGCGACGATGGAGAATTACATGGACAGAAAATTAAGCAACAAAGAGACAGAGTTCGAATTGAAGAGCTTATTTTCCAAATACACCGCGCAGGTGGTAGCTGCTGCTGGCTTCGGCGTAGATGGATACTGCTTTGATGATGACAAGAAAGATGTATCTTTCAGAAAACTCGGACAAGCCATCTTCAAACCGTCCAAACGAAATACACTTATATTCGCTCTCGTATTTCTCATTCCGTCATTAAATAAAATCTTGAAACAAGACCTCGTTCCGAAGCACGTCGACAACTTCTTCAGGACGTTAGTTGCAGACCTTATGGAACAAAGGAGAAAAGACGGAATACCTAGAAACGATTTTCTTCATTTTATGGTGGAACAGGAGCAAGCGGAGGGTGATAAATTCGACATTGGAATGGTTGCGGCCCACGCAATGTCATTTATCGTCGACGGCTATGAGACCTCCAGCACTGTCATGAGCTTCATCGGATTTGATTTGGCCCGTCACCCAGAAGTACAGAATAAATTACGGGAGGAGGTGTTATCCGTACTTAACAAATACAACGGAGAAATCACTTATGAAGGCTTGAAAGAAATGACGTACATGGACCAAGTCTTAAACGAGACACTAAGATTATTACCCGCAGGGGGGGTGATGAAGAAACGATGCACGGAAGAATTTGAACTAAAAGGATCCGATGGAGTTGTCTGTCGCGTGCAACCCGGAATGGAGATCCTGATACCGCTTCAAGCTCTACACACAGATCCACAATACTGGGAAAATACCGAAAAATATGATCCTGAAAGATTCAACTCGGATAGAAAACACAACATCGAGAAATTTACTTTTCTTCCCTTCGGCGAAGGTCCACGAATCTGTGTGGGTATGAGAATGGCTCAACTGCAAATAAAGGCAGGTTTGGCTATGATTTTGAGAAAATACAGAATGGAATTGTCGCCGAGGACGCAAATACCATTAAAGATAATTATTGGGACGTTTTTACCAACACCGGAAGGTGGTCTGTGGGTCTATTTCCGACAGCTTTAAGTACAAATACTTGTTTTAAATTTCTTTTTCAGGCTTTCAATGTCATAAATATTTCTGTTCCAGAAAAAAGATTTATAACTTTACATAAAAAAATATAATTCTCTCTCATTTTAGTCATTTTTAATAACTGTATCTTTATAGAAAAATAGGAAATACTTGAAATTTTATAATTGTTTATAATGTAACGCTTTTTTATGCAAATATTTTTATTAACTTTTGATTCTGAAAGATAGAATGTATATATAAGTAAGAATTTAATAAACTTTACACATAAATAATAGATTGAAAGATAGTTGTTATCGTATACTAAACATACTTTCTAAATTTTTGTGTAAACATTGTAATTATAAGAACTTAGTTTAGGAAGATAACAATTTTATCAACTTCAATCAAGTTAAAATATTCAAAACTTGCTATTATTTTTATAAAATGTTCTTTTATACTAACAATATTAAGTCCTATGCACTCTCAATTTTACGTTAATTTCGCGTAAAAAACCGTTTAATGTAATTGATTGACAAAATATATTGAGTCATGATTTAATATTGCACGTTCAATACACTCGACACATTCGAATAACTCACCTAAATCTCGTAGCAAATTATTGATAACATGTATCACTATTCGTATGTATAGAATTGCATATCAATATTGGTATTCTCGTTTGAATCATTCGATCTGCCAATTTCAGAAACGGCGGGCAAATTAAATTAAAATTAGCGAAAAATTCAAAACACTTATTCCTTTCATTCTAAATATATAAACTGCTTGCGGTCGCTTTAAAATTAACTTCAGGAATTAATTTATTACTATAACTGGCAGCATACTATGTAATAATCATTTTTCTTGTAACTGTTGCCAATGAATAATATGTAACACGGAATATACGTGGAATAAATTTACATGTATCAGACAAGTAGGAATTCTAGTGATAATTTTATTATTATTTAACGTGCTTCAACGATGATGTTATTGCGTTACATGCAATGCTGAATTGCGATATGTCTTGAACTTTAACATACTTCTTTAAACGATTAAATTATCGAGCTAATAAAACCGCTTAAAGAATATCAATATCATGGAATAACTGGAATTTGTTACTATTTTTACAATAAATTTTCACAGATCTGTGCATGGTTTCAGTATTTAATTTTCATAACTCATTTTTTTTAAGTTAAATATAATGGTTAAACGTGCATGTGGTTTAGTATGAATAAACTTGATGGGATCATAAAATCGCAAAAGAATGTACTTCCACATAAGTGTAATAAGAATGTGGTATATGAGATTTGCGCTGTAAGAACTGTAACGCTTCATACGTAGGATAAACAGGAGGAAAACTTAAAAGAGGATTGTTGAATACCGAAATAATATAAATAGAAAAACCGGTAATCCGAATGTAATTACAGAACATAGATTGGAGTATGGACTCAATTGGGAAAATGTAAACATCTTGGTTAGGGAAAGATATATTAGAAAAAGACTCGTGTTTGAAATGCTTCACATTAAGAGTCGCAAGAGAATAGTTTAAATTTAAAATCTGACACTGAGTTTCTACACTATGCTTATGTGAATATTGGAAACGAGATTTGATGTATGACAAGAATTTATTTTACATCATAGTTGACTGTCTTGGTTACATTTTTATTTTATGACTTTCTGACTTCTATGACAATCTATTTTTGTTATGGTACAATGCTCAACCTTATATATTTTATTCCGTTACTGTCATTTGAACATTGATATTTGCATGATTCGGTTTCTCTTAACGATGTATCTTTATTTATGTGTTTCGAAACTTTGTGATATTTTGATTATGGATTGCAGCGAGTGAGTCTTTTGATTATTCTATATTTGTTTTTATCATTGTCGTGTTATAAAAATGTTACTTTTCTGTAGTACTCAGTTTTAGCTATTCAACTAATTGACAGTGATGCTTCTCATGTTTAAAATTGAAGAGGCTCCCTTAGCTGCATTCTTGAATCTTATCTGAAATTGATTGTAATGTTACTTGGACATCGCTGAGGATGGCTTGAACTGAGTCGAAACATCCGATTTCATCGTACTAGTTGTAAGATTTATGAAATACATTGTTAACGTATAACGCTTTAATAATTGCGTCTTAGTTTTTGCTCTCAATCGCCTGTTTTTGGTTTATATATTATTGTTTAAATATAATGTCTTGAAAGCTAGACTTTTAAACATTTTTTCTCGTTATTTTTGTTTAAATAAGCAAAACAATATGTAACAATAATTATAATTAAATGACGAACAGCTCGCCGTTTATTGATTGTTGCCTAATGTAGAATTTTGTATGTACATTGCAGATGTGTCGAACATATAAAACGATAATAAAAATGTATGGACACTCTAAAGACTTCAATCTTATTTTATACCAATCACACCTATTTATATTATAATTAATATATTGTATATATATATATATATGTTTATCGAATGCTTAAACATAAGCATTATACATAAGTTACCTATCTTAATAATAATACGACTAATATTATTATTAAGATAATAATAATATTAATAATAATGATACTTAAATATAACAGAAATTATACAAATTACATTGCAAAGAAGAGGTATTGTTACCACTGTAAATCCTTCATGGCCGTTTCATAGGTGGGACTATGATCAGAGTAAAACTGTGAGTACCAACGGCGGTATACTTGGATGGTGCGATCCTCGCGCACCAGGATCGGATGTTGCTCAAATCTCTTAGAGTTCCAGATTCTAATGTCACGCTCAAACATTACGCACTCGCCCAGGAAAAGCAAATTAGCGTATGGCGCCAGCAGAGGTGGCGAGAAGATCAGGTGAATCACCCGTTGTAGCAACGGTTCAACCGGCGTTATTGTTAACAAAATGTACAAAGATCCGAACGACGTATTAACATTTAGTTCGATGATGCCAGGTCCGATCTGCTCGGCGCGTACATCGGACTCCATTATGCTAAAACGTTCTAAAAGCATCAATTTGTGGCACAAGTGCACATTGGCCTTGTGCTTCTCCCTACTTTTGTCTCTGTTTTGCGCAACTGCAAAGTGACGTTTTCCATTGTCATTCTCAATTGGGTGGATTAACACCCTTTTCAATTTGGTGCTCATCTTTATTGCTTCATCTTCATCCTCATCCGTCTGGTTGTCATATGAGCAGTTAGGCTGCCATCTTGTGTAGATGATCCATAAGTGTCGAGCTAACCAGACAAATTCGCCAGAGAAGAATATAGATGGACTATGCAGCTCGTTGAGATGCGCAGTATCGGGCCCATTCTCAGTTACATCCTAATGCACAGGTCCACACATTAAATTTACTGTCTATTTAAAACAGATTTTTGGAAGTAGGGAGGATGTAAGAATAGAACGGTAATTTTCTCTCTAATACTTTTACTCCGTCCATAACTCTGGAAAATGAATCTCGACAGTACATTCAAATAAACACTAATTAGCTTGATTGATTGAAAACGCTTTTTTTTCGTTTTCTACGAGTGATTTCTGCGTAATAGAGATATATCTTCTATCACATCAAAGAATCAAATGCGCGACAAACCTGTATATGACAGTTAATGAGGTATTCATTGCGACCTTGGTAGCGCCAGGAGCCGTTGGAAATGCATGTATGCGGTTGGGGCTGCCAGTCCGGCTCAGCTGATTCAGAATGGTACCAGACGAAGATAATGTGATTCACTTCGCAGCTCTTCCAAACTTTCACTCGGGCGACGTGTGGCACTGTGCAAACAAAACAATTATACAGGATATCTGGAAATTACCGCCAAATGTTTCGTGCGTGGGTAGAACAGACTATACTGAGTCGAAAAGTCCTGGCAAGACATGGACATGATGTTGCCATTTCAACCGTCTTAAGTGCGGACTAGTGTTCGTGCACAAAGATACGACACATTTATGCGTGTGTGTACGATCGCCTCAAAAGTTTCTCTCTTCAGTTGCGGGATTCTCTAAACGTTTTATCGACAATTGTCGCTATCGTTAACTAACGATAGCCAATGAGTACCACTCTTTCTTCCAGGGTTGTCCTGCCATTGACTGTCACTAGTTAACGATAGCGACAATCATAGATAAGACGTTTAGAGAATCCCGCTACAGAGAGCACGCGCGGAGAGGCATATTAGTAGATTGTACGCGATTAACTTTCCAGCGCGATTGTATAGCCGGAGAAATATCTTAATATGTAAAGGTATTACAATAAATTATTTTTATTATATGTTTATTTATAAACTGGATTCTTGAGCCGAAATGTATTATATATTAATGTATTATATTTGCTATCTTATTAAATTGTTAAATGTTTTACTTATTTAAACATTTTATTTGATTATCTCTTGGTTGTTTAATCAAACAACGCTCGTTAGTTTGCAATGCAAAAAATATACTTAAACAACCAAGAGATAATCAAATAAGATGTTTAAATAAGTAAAACAATTTAATAAGATAGCAAATATAATACATTAATGTATAATACATTTCGGCTCAAGAGTCCAGTTTATAAATAAATATATAATAAAAAAAATTTATTTATTAGCTGTCTAAAGATAAATTTTCACGAGCTACTCAAACCGGCTGTTTCAGCAACAAAAAGGATCACGTGGTCAAAATTGACGAATATCAAGTATCCATTTTGATCGGGTAATCCTTTTTGTTGCTGAAACAGCCGGTTAGAGCAGCTCATGAAAATTTATTATTAAGACTCAATTAAGATTATGTAAAACTTGATTAATACCTTTTGTAGAATAAGGTATGTTCTCACAGTAGCCATCCTCTGCGCGAAACTTCCAGTTATGGAAGGGACACTCCAGACAATCTCCTTTGACACGACCACCCTCGGCCATATTTGCCCCTAAATGAGGGCAATATGCGTCCAAAATGTTGATAGCGCCTCTTTCAGTTCTTAAAGAAATTAATAAAACGTTACATAATAAATACTCAATAAACGAGAATGAAATGAAATGGAGTAAAATAGATTAAAATGGATTTAGATTTTCAGAAATACGAATTCATGAATGTTAAAATGAATCTTTTTCAATCCTGAATGCATTTTTATTTATTTATAGGAATGGCATGGAGTACATTTCTATGCTCTTAAATCTAAATATAATATTATAGTATTTTGTGTGAATATTGCTTAATTTAAAATTCTGAATTGGAAATGCAGTTTTTCAATCCAGTTGAATCTAAAAATAATATCGGCCATTTCTGTGCATCGTGAATATTACTAAATTAAAAATTCTGAATAGGAAATGCAGTTTTTTAACCCAATTGAGTAAAAAAAGTTTTTATTTTAAAATAGGTCATGAATATTATTCAATTTCAAAATTACGAGTAGAAAATCCATTGTCTTGTCTTAAAATTGCCGTGTTAGGTTTTTTTGAAGCCTCTTTTGGCGGATGGAATTCTTAAAGATCTTTCGATTACAGCCAAATTTCGTATAAGGGAGATTTTAGAGGTTGCTGATCTCGAATCCGGATTAAATTTGAAAATTCAAAATGGCTGAACCAATATGGCGGACGGAAATGCTAAAAATCTTCCGATTTCAGCGAAATGAAGCATTAGAAGGTTTTCGAGGTTGTTGATGCTGAATCTGATTTTAGAATTTGAAAATTCAAAATGGCTGAAAAAACGGAAATAAAAAAGAAAAAATAGCCAAAGGGAGGAAAGGCAAATCAAACAATGAGCTATATACAAACAGGGATAAGTCTTTACGAAATTAAAAACGGTGGGGGGAGGACAAATGTTCGGGAGTGAGAATACAAAATAATAAATCTAAGCCTGACTAAAATAGGGACGAAAGAAGAATACAGCTTTTACAACCGTAAACAAAAGAAAGGGTAATTTCAAATTGTATAGAATTGATTGATTTTAAAGTACATTGACTAGATAATATGAGTAATAAGGCTCAATAAATTATAAATTGCTATAACATTAGAGGGCTACGAGCCAAAAATTAAAATATAACGTTAGTAATGGTAATAAGAATATAAATATATTTAACGCAAGTTTAGCATATAATTAATTGCAACAAATTAAAATAGAATAGATACTGCATTATAAAATTTAATTAATTTTATAATGCAGTATCTATATGAGATATTATATCTACTATAATTTGTAACTAATTTATAGAAACAATATGTGTGGTTACAATGGAACTTTCGATATTTGATTTTCTCAAGATCTGATGAATATTCATTTTTATGGAATACCACACAGTGTGATCCGGATATATTAACATGCGATCAAATTCTTTGTTTTCTTTGACTCAACGAACTCTTGTATTAAAACATTGAGAATGACCCGTTCGAGGTTGAAACGTATGATATTATATATTTTTATATTTTTTATTTATTATTCTGTTTTTATTTGTTGCGATTAATTATATGCTAAACTTGCGTTAAATATATTTATATTCTTATTATCATTACTAACGTTATATTTTAATTTTTGGCTCGTAGCCCTCTAATGTTATAGCAATTTACATTGATTAGGTTTAAAAATAAAAAGAAAAAATAAATATTTTATATCTGTATTCAAAGCTTGAATAAATATGTAAAATAATATAAAGAATAAGAGTCCACGAGTGATAAATAAGAAAAGTTCATAAAATCAGGATCATGTGAGGTCAGCGCGCACGTAGCGCGCGCATGAAATGAGCTGGTTTTATTTAAAAATGCATCATGAATACTATTTTATTCAAAATTATGAATAAGAAATTTTTCATTTTAATTTAACTGACAATAAGTTAAAAAAAAGTTGTACCTTAATAAAAATATATCATGAATTCTATTTCATTTAATAGTTAAAAGAAACATGAAAAGAGAGAACTATGTAAATATGTACAATAAATGTTACATATAAATTCCTTATTTTTAATTAATAAATTAATTGCTTGTATGTATATTTTATATTAATAAAATTTGTTTCTTTTATTATACAGTTAGCGCATATTTTTTTGTATAAAAGTTTTAAAATAATAACTATAAAATTTTATGTAATTACTCCTTTAATTTATTTAAACTTTTACATGTATAAAAATTTTTTATATGGAATTCAATCCATTTTTATGGATTTAATACGAATTCAGAATGGATTGAAATTTTCCGATTAAAATATATGGAAAAATAATCAAAGAAAATTTTGTACTTTGACATACCTGAACACTGCAAAATTTTCACCGAGAGCACACACGTGTTTCACCTGACCATTTTTTACCTGCAAACTTTCAAGCAGAGCGAACCATCCGTTCGGATAAACTGGCGGTAGTTCTTTGCCTATCTTTCGATTTTTATTACTCGCATAAAAGTTGCGGGCCTTAGTCTCAGTTCTTAAATCCTTCAAGAAGTATTAAGTTATATAATTTTAGCATACTTTGTAGCAAAAACACAGAAAATAAAGTTCAACAACTCACTTTCACACAATTAAATTTAAAGAAATATCCAAAATAAATAAGGAAGGTCAGTAGAGTGGTTGCAATTCCAACGCACCATTCCAACATTGTCATCACTTCTGTCCCAATATCCGGTTCTCTTGATTTTTTCAACTTCCTAATTTGGAGTACGTGTTTCGTGAGTTCTCGCTCCGTTTAATTACACAATTGCGCATTAATGCTTCAATTGCACAAATGAGAATGCGATTTATACAGGAGGGGGAATACAATACATTTATACGGAGATCGCGCTCTATAGGAGAGATAAACTACAAGTTTATCTCACACGCAAAACACGTTATGGCGAGAAATAACGAATCTTATTATTAGACTGCAGATATTTATGCAAAATACTTAACTGAATATTAACCATCGGACAGTTTTAGCAGTCGATCGTTGTTCGTTAAAGAATTATTAAAAAGTAAATTAAAAAGGTTGATATCTGTAAATATGCAACATTAAATAAGAAGACTCTACTAGGTCAATTCACAATCGAGCTATAAAAGGCTTATTCGCTCTGCGCCACGTGGAGGTTACATATGCCTACCGTATATACAACCATCTTATACATCTGGAAATAAGGTTACCACTGAATGGCTGACTGGACTTTCTTTTTTTACCACATTGACTACCCGTTCTCGTTGTTAACTGAAGAATTGGTTTGGATCTAATTTTAATATAAGTTTGATAATTTGACTCAGTATAACATGGTTGGGTTGATAATACATTGTGTGAATGTTGGATGAGATGACGCGATACTGTTACCGAAATTAATTTTAAGTTTAATGGTTAATTAAATGTTTTCGGGGTTTTTACGATTTATTTATTTAAATACACGGGTGTTACAATAAATATCGGATTCTCATATTACAAAAACAGTGTTCTGTACGTTATAAAATAGATTTTAAAAAATGTAGATACATATCAAATGCTTATGTCTTCCTTCTTTGTTACGAATATGTTTATATTTGAGATATTAAAGGTGAGACGTTAAAATCGCTCAATATAATTGGGACGCTCGTGATGCTCGCATTTTTCTTCAATGAAAAGTAATCTATTTAAAAGAAAGTTTTCAAAGAAACCAGTTGTTAAGTTACGAATACAATTAATAAATAATTACAACGTATAAAAGAAACCACTAACAATAATTAAAAGTAAACAAACAAAAGAAAAAAATTTTTTAAACGTATAATACATAAAAAAACCGTTAGAGTTATGTTAACGTTAATATCAATTGCAGATTAAAAATGAACAAGTCAATAAATCAGCGCATATTAAAATACAAAACTATAAATACCTTCTTCAATCGAACTATTGTGAGTCAAAAATTAAAAGAGTAACGCAATTTTTTAAATCTACTTTATAACGTACAGAACACTATTTTTGTAATATGAGAATCCAATATTTATTGTAACATTATTATTCTAACATTGAGAATGACCCGATCCGCGTCGAAACGTTTGTTCTTTTTACTAATCTAATTTTAAATATTAAACGTTATTAATTTTAATTGGTTCGTAGCCCTTGTTATTACCTATATTTGATTTATTTCAATTGAACCATTCTATTAATTTATATTTCAGAATAATTAGTTAAAATTCATTTCGGCACCTTTCCAATTCGTTGCGTCTTCCCAAGGATCGTACCCTAAGACTCGTACAAGGGTTCTATCTCTGGTCAAAAATATTAAGTTCCGAGATAAAGGACCAACGGTTCCACTGTCTCGGTCGACGTAATAACGCTTCGTATTTGCGTTTATCCGCACCAAAGACTTGCTCGAATGCTTCCAACTTGTGGCACGCGTCCTCAGAGTAATAAGCCACAAGTGAACGATGTCAGTTACGTCCTTCCTTGCCCCCGTCCTAATTCCCGTTTTCCATGAAATAAAGAATCCTGGGGTCTGGACATAATACCATCTTTTCTTCGCTATATTTGTCTAAATAAGCCAGAAAATATGTATCAACGTTAAAGTCAGGTGAAGAATAGTTCGTGGTTTTCTTATTTATTCATCGTTGTCGTCTATTATAGAATTTTGTATGTACCTATACATTTGTCAAATATATAAAGCAACAGTAAAAATATATAAGGACACTGATAAAGACTTAATTTATTTTAAATCAATTATAAACTATAATATTTATATTTTAATTAACATATATCGAATGCTTAAAAATAAGCATAATACATAATTTATCTATTTTAATAAAATTACAAATAACAGAGAGTACACAAGTAACATTTAAAAAAAGAGGTATTGTTATTAAAATGTTACTACCACTGTAGATCTTTCATGGCCATTTGATAGGTGGGACTATGGTCAGAGTAAAACTGTGAATACCAACGACGAAATACTTGGATAGTGCGATCCTCGCGCACCAGGATCGGGTGTTGCTCGAATTTCTTAGAGTTCCATATCCTAATGTCGCGCTCAAACATCACTCGATCGCCCAGGAAAATCAGATTGGCGTATGGCGCTAGCAGAGGTGGCGAGAAGATCAGATGAATCACCCGTTGTAGCAGCGGTTCGACCGGCGTTATTATGAACAGTATGCACATAGACCCGATCGACGTATTGAACGTCATCTCGACGTAGCCAGGTCCAATTTGTTCGGCATATATATCCACCTCCATTACGCTAAAACGTTCTAACAAGATCAATTTGTGGCCCACATGCACACTGACCTTGTGTCTCTCTTTACTGCTGTTCTGTGAGATTACAAAGTGATCATTCCCTTTGTCATTCTCGATTGAGTGGATTGACGCGCGCATTTGATTCTTCAATTTGGCGCTCGTCTTTATTGTTTCTTCATCCTCGTCCGTTTGATTATCGCAATGTGTCCGCCAATTCGTGTAAACAGTCCATGAGTGACGAGCTAACCAGGAAAAGTTGCCAGAGAACCATGGACCTGGACCATGCAGTGCGTTGAGATGCGTGGAATCAGACCCATTCTCAGTTATATCCTGGTGCACAGATCCATATGTTAAATTCATTATCCATTGAAAAAATTTTTCGGGCGTAGGAAGGATATATGTGTGAACACAATGGTTATTTTCTTTCTATTGGTTTTTTTTCTACATACGTTTTGTATCTGCATTTGCAGATCTGAATGGACTTATAAGGAATTGCGATTTCAAAAACACATTCAACCTACCAAAAACGAATACATTTTCTTTATATGGATCTATTAAGAATTTCCGGCAGGGATGATGCATTCTTCTATCACATTAAACAATCAAATGTGCGACAAACCTGTATGTGGCTGTTAACAAGGTACTCATTGCGACCTTGGTAACGCCAGGACCCGTTGGAGATGCATGTATACGGTTGGGGTTGCCAGTCTGGCTCAGCTGATTCAGAGTGGTACCAGACGAAGATAATGTGATTCACTTCGCAGCTCTTCCAAACTTTTGCTCTGGCGATATGTGGCACTGTGTAAAAAAAATTATATATATAGCTAGGATTAGATATATATATACATCGAAAAATCATTTCTAGTATACATTTTTATATATATTTCTAGTATAAAAAATTCTTTATACTATAAAAAGCAATAACTGAATTGTGAATAATTTAGGTCCTAAATGAACACCTAATAGTTGGACTCAAACGTTTGTGTTGTATGTTAACATGCAGAAACATTTGTATGCAGGAATGTAGTTCCGTTAAAAATAATCGCTCCGAATATCTTGACCACAAATCCTGATAGCACAAGGTAGATGAATGTCGTCTGAGATTCAATTATGTAGAACTTAATTAATACCTTTTTCAGTATAAGGTATGTTTTCGCAGTAGCCATCCTCTCCGCGAAACGTCCAGTTATGAAAAGGACACTCCAGACAATCTCCCTTGACACGGCCACCCTCGGCCATATTTGCCCCTAAATGCGGGCAATATGCGTCTAAAATGTTGACATCGCCTTTTTCAGTTCTTGAAGAAATTGATAAAACGTTACGTGATAAATAATATACAGAATGTTTTATTTCAAGATATATTTTAAAATATTTGAAAAAATAATCAAAGAAAATTCTATACCCTCTGACGTACCTGAATACCGCGAAATTTTCGCCGAGAGCAGACACATGTTTCACCTGACCACTTTTTATCTGCGAACTTTCGAGCAGAGCGAACCATCCGTTTGGATATACCGGAGGTAGTTTGCCCTTCCGATGTTTGTTACTCATGTAAAAGTTGCGTAACTGTTGCGTCTTAGTTTCAGCTCTCATGTCCTTTAAGAAATACCAAGTTATAATCTTAAAACACTTCGTAGTAAAAATACAGAAAATAATGTCGCTTGATCATCACTCACTTTCACCCAGTTGAATTTGAAGAAATATGCAAAGTAGATGAGAAAAATCAGCAGGGTGGTTGCAATTCCAACGCACCATTCCAACATTGTCATCACTTCTATCCCAATATCCGGTTCTCTTGATTTTTTCAACTTCTTAATTTGGAGTATGTGTTTCGTGAGTTCTCGCTCCGTTCAAATGCACAATTGCGCATCAATGCTTCAATCATTGCACAGATGAGAATGCGATTTATACAGGAGGGGGAATACAATACGAAGATCGCGCTCTACAGAAGAGAAGGAGAGATAAACAATAAGTTTATTTCACACGAAAAAACACAATATGGCAAGAAATAACGAATCTTATTATTAGATTGCAGATATTTATGCAAAATACTTAACTGAGTATTAACCATCGGACAGTTTTAGCAGTCGATCGTTGTTCGTTAAAGAGTTATTAAAAAGTAAATTAAAAAGGTTGAGATTACCATTTGTAAGCAACAATAAATAAGAAGACTCTACCAGGTCAATTCACAACCGAGCTATAAAAGGTATAAACAATAAACTTTATTATTCTTTTATAATTCTTTTTTAACAAATTCACGGAACGTTTCGACTGTACTAAGTCCTCCTCAGCCTTGTATTTAAATAAATAAATCGTAAAAAAACCCCGAAAACATTAATTTAATTTACCATTAAACTTAAAATTAATTTCGGTAACGGTATCGCGTCATCTCATTCAACATTCACGCAACGTATTATCAATCCAACCATGTTATACTCTGAGTCAAATTATCAAACTTATATTAAAATTAGATCCAAACCAATTCTTCGGTTAACAACGAGAACGGGTAAATCAATGTGGTCAAAAAAGAAAGTTCGGTCAGCCATTCAGTGGTAACCTTATTTCCAGATGTATAAGATGGTTGTATATACGGCAGACATAACTTTGCTAAAAAAGTTATAAAAATTTGTTAAAAAAGAATTATAAAAGAATAATAAAATTTATTGTTTACACCTTTTATAGCTCGGTTGTGATTTGATCTGGTAGAGTCTTCTTATTTATTGTTGAAACTTATACGAGCGAATTATATAATATAGTTTTTATTGTAATTATTTGTAAATATGCAATTTATGCAAAATATGCATTTTATGCAAAATCTTCAGTTAAGTATTTTGCATAAATATCCGCAGTCTATTTATTGTCATTATTAAAGGCGTAAAAAATGACCGTATACAGAGTGTCCTGTAAGTTTTTACTAAGCGCTTTTGTAGATAGAGCGGTCTAAACTAAGTCAAAAAGTTCCCTATCATTTTGCAATTTTCGCAATGGTTAATAAGATATTAATTAGCTATCAATCTTGGTGTAGGCTCCAACGAATAAATCCAAGGACATATGTAAATCAGCCAATGCGAACCAAGGTTAAGCACAGGTTGAAAATCCGTTCTGAACATAGATTGGAACATAATCATGATTTTGACTGAAATCACATAAAAATCTTAGGCAGAGAAAAGAATTATAATAAACGACTCATTTCAGAATCAATTTTTATTAACAAACAAAAAAACGGATTAAAACACTTCGTAGTAAAAATATAGAAAATAATGTCGCTTGATCACTCACTTTCACCCAATTGAATTTGAAGAAATATGCAAAGTAGACGAGAAAAGTCAGCAGAGTGGTTGCAATTCCGACGCATCATTCCAACACTGTCACCACTTCGATCCCTATGTTCCGTTCTCTCGATTTGTTTCTTTCAACTTTTTTATTTTAGCGTTCTTTGTTCTCGCACTGTTCAATTGTACAGTGAAAATGCGATTTATACAGAAAAGAGGATGCAATTTATATGTAAAAGAAGATTGAGCTCTGCAGGAGAGAGAGATAAACAACCCCAAAAATAAAATGGCGGAAAATGACGATCCTACTTATCATTTTAAATGATGTTACGTAGTAGATGTTACGTAACATATTTCGATGATGTTATTGCATTATACGCTGAATTGCGTCTTATCTTAAACTTTTACTTGGCTTCATAAAATACATTATCGAGCTGATAAACATATGAAAAATAGTAATGTCGTTTATAATAACTGAAACGTGTACACTATATCATGTATATACAACATGTATTCATAGATCTATGTCTACGTTTTTAACATTTAATTTTCATGATTTATTTTTTTTAAGCTCATATACTATATTTTGAGGGCTAGACTTTTAAACACTTTTTTTCCTTGCTATTTTTTCTAAATAAGAGAGAAAATGTATAAAAAGGATTAGAGGTGAAATGAAGTACATTTTCTTATTTATTCATCGTTTGGTATGAAACTTGATATGTACATTGCAGAAAAAGTAAAAAAAAGGAAAAAAAATTCAAATCGCGTATCTGGAAAATGAGCGAATCGTTAAACAATTTTTTAAGTATGTTGAATATATATATTTTCTTACATTCTCTGTTCAATAATCGCGAGTATCAATTCAGTCCTTGCAATGGAGAGAAGATATTAGTTAGTATTACGTAGTAATGACGTTCACTTGGCGATGGAAATTGCCAATGCGAAATTTATTACTGTTATTTTAAAGGGCTCTATTCGAGTTATAATAGAATTTTCTGAAGAGAAATTTCTTTTTAATCATAGCTTATGTCTCCTTATTTTGATACATGAATACGTGTTATAGATACACACGCCTTATTCATGTAAAATTTTTTGCTTAGAGAAAATGCTAATTGTAAGAGGAATTCCCCGCTTATCGACAGAATATTTTTTTAGGCTGAGCTATCAGAAACTATATATTTCGATGTATCCGATTTTTGACAGGTAAAATCGTTTTATTTCTATCGCTATCGCTATTCCTTCGCATTATGTCTTTGGCTTTACATAAATTATCTATGATTTCTATTTAAATTAATTTCTATCCAATTTAATTTGCACATGCAGATGATATTCAATTATATTTCATTTGCACTTCAAAGAATAGTTTAAATTTAATAAAATTTTTATATCTCTCAAATTTAATGTAAAATTATATATACCAATGATACAATTATTTAAACAAGCGGTTTTTATATATTTTTTTATGATAATAATACACAACTATAAGTAGCTCGTGGGTTGTATCCAACCCGCGAGACTTTCCACTTCAACTCGCAATGTCCAAACCTGATTGATCGAAAAAATAAAAAACAAACTGAGTTATTAAGGGGATCCTAAAGCCATTTGTATTACCGACTAAATCATATAATTTTTGTATAATAAATACTTTTTTCTTTTTCATAGATTCTAAAATCCTTTTCCAGGATTAAAGTATACGCATTAATACGTGTTTGTGAAGTGGAGTTTATGCTGAGAACGACTAAAAATTTCGAGATTAATATATTTTTTACCATTTTCTTAGAGTAACATCAAGCGTCTCAAGCTGTTAAGTCGTGACAACATTTGTATGATACGAAAGTTTTGCAACTTGTACTTACAAAATAGTAATCCACAAACACGTATAGTTTGCACGAACAAATAACGTCGAGTTCTCGGAATTAGACATAGACGTTTTATCACGACAAATTTGTTATACGAACATTGACCGCGCGATTGCGTGTATCATAGGTTGCGTGATATATTGATGTGATAGTACATAAAGACATGTCGATGCGCTGGAACAATAGCGATCTTTGGTAACTTCGTCAAAGTTCGGGCTTCACTTTAGGATCCTCTCTTAACCTTAACATATAGCACTGAATTATGTTGATATATAACGTACAATTATATATATATATATATATACATATGTATACACACAATATTTTTAATAATAACATACATATTATATAATAATATATAATAAAATAAATAAATATAATTTTAATTATTCTGTTTTCTTATGTTTTTTTTCTATATTCTTCAAAGCTTTCTTAATACGAACTTAATGAAAAACTAGGGGGACCCCATATTTACCTTTGCAGTAGGGTCCCAAAAACTCTTTGCACGGCCCTGAATGATGCTATAATGTTATTACGTTACTGCGGTGCTGAGTTGCGAATTGTCTTGAATTTTAACATATTTCGTAAAACAGTTCACTCATCGAATTAATAAAAACACATGACAGATAATATCATTAAATAATTGGAATTTGTATACGATGTATACAACGAATTTTCTTAGACTCATGCGAGTCTTCAATATTTAATTCTCATAATTTATATTTTCAAATATAATGTCTTGAGAGTTAGACATTTAAATATCATTATTTTCTCGCTATTGTTGTCTAAATAATTACGATTAGAGTTAGGCGAAGAAAAGCTCTATCGTTTTCTTATTTATTCATCGTCGTCTGTTAAAGAATTTTATATGTACATTGCAGATATGTCAAACATATAAAGCGACAATAAAAACGTATGGACACTCTAACAAAGGTTTAATTTTTTTTTAAACCATAACTATTTATATTATAATTAACATATATCGAATGCTTAAAAATAAGCATCGTACATAAGTTATCTATTTTAATAATAACAATAATACCTACAAATATAACAGAAAGTATACAAGTTACATTTTAAAAAGGAGGTTATCGCTACCATTGTAGATCCTTCATAGCCGTCTCATAGGTGGGACTGTGATCGGAGTAAAATTGCGAGTACCAACGGCGATATGCTTGGATAGCTCGATCCTCGCGCACCAGGATAGGTTGTCGCTCATATCTCTTGTAGTTCCAGATTTTAATATCGCGCTCAAACATCAAACACTCGCCCAGAAAAATGAGATTCGCGTATGGTGCCAGCAAAGGTGGTGAGAAGATCTGATGGATCACCCGTTGCAGCAACGGCTCAACCGGCGTTACTGTCTGCAGAATGTACATAGGTCCGAACGACGTGTTGATCATAAGCTCGACATAGCTAGGCCCAATCTGCTCAGCGAGCACATCAATCTCCCATACGCTAAAACGTTGCAGAAGGATCAACTTGTGGCACATGTGCAGACCGGCCCTGTGCTTCTCTTTACTGCCGAAACTGTTCTGTGAGACTGCAAAGCGACGATTCCCGTTGTCATTCTCGATAGGATGGATCAACACGCTGTTCAATTTAGCGCGCGTCTTTGGTGCTTCTTCGTATTCGTCCGTCTGGGAACAACGCGATCGCCATCCCGTGTAGGTGATCCACAGGTGCCGAGCTAACCACGAAAAGTTGCCAGGGAGAAACATAACTGGA